AACACCGATCTATTCCCAAGAGAATGTTGAGCACCAAAGACACTCCACCTGGGGCCTTTCTTCTTGCCTATACTGGCCTTTGGGTAAAGAAATGCCCACACCTCAACTACTGACAGAGTTACAGAATATCCGTAAATGGATAAAACAGGACTGTCATATCCTGCCAAGACAGGGTAAGATAGTTTTGAAAAGTTTCTTGCCATTGAAAATGGTATGTCAGTTATGTCAGACCTTAGCCAAAGTTGGTTGCTTCAACACTGCAAACATGACTTTGGGTGTTTGTCCAGGTAGCCAGTTGTCTCTGTGATTTGTTCCATGTTCTGGAAGTTGTTTGATTGCACTTCCTAATTACTCAGGTAACATTATTTCCCTTCTCAGATCCTCGATGGGATTGAAGATTATATAAATGTAGTTACTTTCCTCTCATGACTTGGCCAAGTTATTTGTTATACAAGACTTAAGCTAGTTAGAATAGGATATTTGTATTTATTGTATATAATTTTGTAGGTTTATACTTATTGTATATAATTTCATAGTAGGCTTAGAACTCTCTTACTTAAACAAAAGGGGGAGATGCTGCAGGAGCTCCTTCTACTCCTTCAGCCAATAGCCGCTGGGATACCAGCCCATTGGGGCGTGGTCTCTCTTTAAAAAAGCAGTGGCTGTCCTCCACTCTCTCTCTGGCTTCTGGCTCTGCTTCTGGCTCCTAGACTCCTTTCCTGTTCGCACAGAGGGGCTATTGTCTGGGATGGTAATCTGTAAGTTTTTTCCCCTTTGAATAAATAATCATTCTATTAATCATAATTCCAAACTGGTGTGGGATTGTTTGTGACTTACGCCTTCAGAGATGATGCATGGACAGTGCAAAGTAGAAGAAATGGCTTTTTGACCCTTGAACCTGTGACTTTTCCCTGGATTTTAAGCAGGTAGGCTACGCAGGAGAAGAAAGGTATATGCTGCCTGCATTAGGGTCCTTTCTAAAGAGAGGGGCATTATCAGCAGAGTAAAGGGCAGTAAAATCTGGTACAGATGGGAACCCTACATTCTACACCCTATTCTGGCTTCTACTGGATTCAGCATGATCTGCCTCAATTGAGCTCAGTACTCCCTAGGTACACACAAGGAGGTGGTACATGATGATGTTGGTAGCAGGTGCCTTCCAGACTCCTTGTAGCATTCTAGGGATGTAGCTGTGGATCAGAAACCTCTGCTGGCAGGTCCCAGTGCCTCAATTGTGAGCCCAGCACAGCTCAAGGAGAAAAACCATTTCTCAGAGAAAGTAAAGGAAAGTCAGGGAGGGCCTGCAGAAAGAGAGAAGAGAAGACGACAGGGAGGGATTTATGTTGCTGACACACATTTTGCCACAATGGTTACCTGGCCCTGAGACCATGAGCACCTAGTCAGTGATACTGGGCAGTGTATGTGATTTCTGGAGAGGAGTTGTATGTGTTGCTGGGGAGATGGAGCCAAAACATAGAGGTTCCTTGAGTGGGCTTGTGCATATGATGTGAACTGGATGGTACCACAAGGTGACCACAGGAACACGGGTGCAGCACAGGATGCAGAATCTCCTGCAGAGAGATTCTGTTTTCCTTCCATATATGGTGGCCTCAGGACTAGGGAGGTTGTGCTTCTCTTTTCAGCCAATTAAGGTCTGTGACATTAGATGCAGGTCACCTAGGTCCAGTTTTCTCACACATCACTCCTCGGTCAAGGAAACTGCAGGAGATCATTTTAGTTGCACTGGGGGCACAACTAGGGGAGCTGTTGTTTACCCAGTCTACTGCCATGTTCACAGACGCATAGGGGAGCTGCTGGTGGGTTGTGCAAGGCAATTCCACTTATGGCCATTGTGCACCGAGAATATCAACAGTTGTGTGACAAGGTTGCACTCATAAAGTAAAGCCAGTGAATCAAACTCCAAGGTAGCCACCGACAAAACAACTAGGCTAGGACTGGCCAGAAATGGTTCTCTAGGCCTGCTGCAAGGGATCCAAAGGCCTGTGGACCTTTGTGCAGTAGTTCTATGCAGAGATGTTTCTCAGGGACATCAAAGGCTTCTCCAATACACTGCCCTGAAGCACTGGGCTTTGTGCCACTGCCAGCTTCTCAAAGCTCCTTCTTTCTTTCCAGGGAAGCTTTGATTGCAAGCCTGCCGGCTACTATAGCAATTGCAAGCCAATCAGGACCAGAGGGGAGGAGCCTCAGAATCAAATTCAAATTCATGGACTTCTGAACCAGGAGCAGAGAACCACCATCTAGCTGTGAATCCAGAGTATTCTGAGAGCCACCCCCTACCTCTGTCAGAGATCCAGCAACTCTCTCATTAACCCTGTTCCACAATAGCTGCCAGGTTGTCCTGGGTCTCTTGACACCTTAAATTAAAACTGGGCAAAACCAAGCTTTTATGTCATGGTAGAAGCCAAGAAGGGGCCTGCCTCCTAGAATAACTCTGAGGTCCTAGAGCAGCACCTAGGTACTGGTGGGCTCAATTCATGAATTAGGCACACAAGTGAGGAAGGGCAGATGTCCCCGAGGACACCACCATCCACCTGAGTGGGACCCCATGACAAGCACTGACTTCCTCAGTAACAGGATGGCAGGAAGGCAGTAACAGGATGGACACAAGGCAAAGGGCAGGCAACTGTGTGCACTTGTGAGAGCTCCAGGCTTGCAAGCCTGAGCCCAGTGTCCCGTGCTACAATGGGTACCATACTCCATTGGGAGAGGAGAAGAGCAACAGGAAACCTTGAACTTCATGACCAAGGTACCCGCCATCCAGCTTCAGTTGGCTGCAGCTCCCTTTGTCCTCAGCTGGGGCCAATGAGGGGTCAGGGACATCTACAAACCTCATACAAAGAGGAAGGCTTCACAGGACCCTGTTTGAGACACAAGGACACATTGAAAAAAGACACACTCCATCCTACCTGACTCCTTGCCTTCCAGCCTGGGCAGGCTCCAAAGCCAAACTGTCTCCAAGGCATCACCAGGCAACCATTGTGACCTGTCTCCAGAGTTCTCATAATCTGTCCTCTCCACATCGATCAGTTACCCACAACACCACCTTCAATGCACTTCAAACACCAGGCACATCACAGGAAACATTTCTCTCCTGTCTCCAAAGTTGCCAAGACCCCCTCTGAATAGAAATTTCTTTATCCTCTGTGGACACCGACATACATGTAGATAGGCCTAGGCTTGAAGGGGACTCATAGCTCTCTCATGAGATTTGAGTAGACAGAAGAGGGCAACCTAGACACCAAGGGAAACATGAGCTATTATCAATTGTCACACTTGGATGCCTACAGCACATACTCACTCCTCTCCTGCTAGGTGATATTCCAACATGTTCCCGGTGACCTCACAGGCAACCATCCAAGGGAATGTGTCTGGCCAGAAATGCTGGGCATTGTGTGTGGTTTCTGGAGAGGAAATGTGTGTGCTGGGGGAGGCTGAGACAAAATCGTGAGTTTCCCTGAGATTTTGCACAAGACGTGAGCTGTTGGGCATCAGAAAGTTATCACTGGAACCCTGTGTCATCCTTGGATGTAGAATCCCCAGCAGAGAGCATCTCTGATCCTGCTAGGAATGGCGACCTCAGGACCAGGGAGGCTGTGTTTCCCATACCCAGAAAACCAAGGGCTGTGTTGCTTGACATGGGCCACCTAGGTCTGGTTTGCTCCCACAACTCTCGTGGTTCTAGGAAACTGCAGGAGCCCATCGTAGTTGCACTGGGGGCACTACTGGCTAAGCTTCTGTTTACTGAGCCTGCTTCCATGTTCACAGAAGCACAGGGAAGCTAGTGGAGGGCTGTGCAAAAACATTTGTGCTTGATGGCCATAGTTCACTGAGAATGCTAAACATTGCTTGACACAGGAACATGCCCTCTGCCCTCTTCAAAGCAAAATTGAAGAAAACCCAGTGCACCACTCTTAAAGATGGCCACCAACCAAACACCTTGGCCAGGATTGGTCAGAGATGGGACTCTAGGCTTGCTGCCAGGGAACCAATGGCCTGAAAACCTTTGTGAGGTGGAGGAATTCTGTGCAGAGATGGGCTTCAGGCACCCCAATGGTTTCTCCATAACACTGCATCAAGACAAGGGGCTGTGTGCCACTGCAAGCCCCTGAAAGCTCCTCCATAGTTCCAGGGAAGCTCTGCTTGCAAGCCTGCAGGCCACTGCAGCAACTTCATGCCAATGTGGACCAGAGGGAAGGAACCTCACAATCAAATTCCAAATTTTTGACTTGATAACCAGGAGCTGAGGTCACCACCTAGCTGTGCAGCCAGAGTATTCTGAGAACCGTCTCCTACCCCTGTCAGATATCCTGCAACTCTCTCATTTACCCTATCCCACAGCATGAACACAACTGTTGCCAGGTTGGCCTGATTCTACTGATCCTTTAAACTAAACCTGGGCAAATCCAAGATTCCAGATCATGGCAGCAGCCAGCCAGGAAGTGGCCTACCTACCAGGCTGACCCTGAGCTCCTAAGGCAACAAATAGGGACTGCTGAGCCTAGGACATGAATTAGGGCCTAGTATGTGAATAAGAGAGAATGCACAGATGCCACGGAGGAGACCACTACCCACCTGAGTGGGGCACCAGGTCCAGCACTGACTTCCCACATGACAGAAGGCTGCAATGTGATAGGCACAGGTAGCTGTGCGCATTCATGAGGGCTCAAGTTCCACCATCCTCAGCCCTGGGCCCCATGGTCCCATGGATTCCAAACTCCAATCAGAGAGGAGAAGAGCCATGAGAAAACTTGGACTTGATGTCCAAGCTGTCCACCATCCAGCTTCAGGTGAGTGCAGCCACACTTTATCCTCATCTATGGCCAGTGAGGGGCCTGGGACATCTGCGACCTCACAATATGAGGCAGTTCTTTCAGGACCCTGTTGTAGGCTCAAGGACACATCAAAAGAAGACACATCCCATCTACCTCCTTGTCTACCAGACTTTCCCTCCTTGTCTACCAGCCTTGGGAAGGCTCCCAAGCCTAACAGATTCCTTGGCATTGCCAGGCAACCATTGTGAGCTGCATTCAGTTCTGTCACAATCTGTCCTCTCCCCACAGACATCCATCCCCCACACCACCACCTTCAACCCACAGCAAACACCAGGCACCTCTCAGGAATCATTTCTCTCCTGTCTCCAAAGTCAGCAAGACCACTCGGACATGGACATTTCTTTATTCTCTGTGGACACACAGGTACATGTAGATAGGCTTATGCATTGAAGGGAATCATAGCTCTCTTAAAAGATTCAAGTAGGAGGACAGACAACCTAGACAACAACAGAGATATGAGCTTTCTAACTTGGTACACTTGAATACCTACTGCATATACTCAACCTTGTCTTCCTTGGTGGCATCCAAAGAAGTTCCAGGTGTCCCCACAGGCAACTGTCCATGGGCCTTCATATTCCCACCCAGAAGCCTAGATACATGGGACAGAAACCCGTGTCCACAGAAAGAGTGCATTTTCCCACTAACCTGTATGGAGAAACACTAACAAACATTAATAAACACCCAGCACCCCACACACTGTGATCCATGATGCCTATCTGTGCTCTATGCACTGCCATACAGTTTGTGAAACAGGCAAGGGGATGCAGAATGAAACACACAAAGACTCATAGACAGAGAGAGACACAGGTCATCCTTGAAACAACAATGCCCCAAGAATGCCTCCTTTACTGTGTTCAGGGGCAGCATATATAGAGATAGCCACGCCCTAGTTAAATGCATCAGAAACCCACTCTCCTGCCATCAGGAACTCCTGAGGGTTTCATGCTCAGAAAAGCTGTAAGCACTCAGATCAAAGAAAGCAAGTTGTTTCAGGATCTGGGAGTTCACTGCTCCCAACAATTCACACCCCCCTTTTAAATATAATTAGAAAAAAGAGGAGCAACTAACCATATGCAAATCCCACAAGAAATACAACTGCTGTCATAAGCTGGAAAATGCCTTAGTGAACATGCTCATTTTACGGTCATCATGAATGATACTAAATGTGACAAGACAGTCACAACAGCCCTCTGACGAATGACAAGTTTAGCTGCCATGAAGGAGGCCATAGCAATGACAATAATGTGCTTGTAGTGATCCCAAAGTTTCCACGATGGCTTGGCAGTTCCTCCTGCCTCTATCTCCTTCAGCAAATCCTACCAGTTTCGGTTACCAGAACCAGCCTAGGCAGCAGCCAGGCTCAGAGACCTCAACACCTACTATGTGGGTTTCTCGGGTGCTGCAGGAAAGTGTAGTGTTTGTTCTGCAGACTCTTGCTTATGCAGAGCCTGGAACCACCACCACATTCTCTTTGCCACAGAGCTGCCTTCTCGGGCAGTTCAGTGAGGTCTGTGCCGTTCCACCTTGTCTCGGCTCCAGCACTTGCTGTCACATTTGCTGATACTTCTGACACCACCCTGGCATTCCCCAGGCTGGGCACCAACTTGGCCAAGGCGACATGCCTTCTGCCACAGCTGCCTAGCAAAGCTCTGCTTGAGCTGCCATCTAGCCCCTGCTGAAGTCCAAACTGGTGCATGGAGTGGAGTGAAACTGGGGAAAGCAGGTTTGCTGCTTCGGAACCACTAAAAGGTACACACATTAACAATTTTTTAGGGAATTGGGGCATCATCAGCCTGTCTGGCTACTTCATGCTGAATAGGGGCACTGCATTCTTGGGGTATTTTTACTGCAACTTTTCAGGGCATCTTGGTGAATCAAAGGACATAAATGTGGAATAAATCCTCAGGTTCTCATCCTCTGTGAAGATTAAAGCAGAACCTCTCTGCCAAAGCATCAAATCCTTAGGCCTATTTTTAAAGTCAAAATACCTTTCTTAGCAGTTCCCAGAATCAAATGTAGTTCTCCAGTCCAGAGCACAAAAGACAGCACAATCAACACAATAACACACATCTGTACACATTTTGTCTTTTTGAGGCCTTCAAGTCACCCTCCTGCCCCTTCCTTATGACTTTCTCACTAACCAATCCCCTTGAGGACATCCCTCAGAGTGTCTCTGTGGATGAAAATGTACCTATTTACTCTTTTAAACGTACTCTTTTTTACTCTTTTGTGTGCTCTTTTACTTTTATTGTACTCCTTTAACTTCTTTGTAGTCTTTCTAATTTTTTTCCTTTTTGAGGCCTTTCAATTCACCTTCCTGATTTCTGTTTCAGAGGGTGTCCCACAGAGCATCTCTGGGGATGCAAAAACACAGCATTCTCTGATCTGCCCTAACCATTTTTGAGGACGACCACTCAACGTTCCCTAGTTCCCAATCTCAGTGGGACCTCCACTGGTGACTCACCATGCCCCTCTGCACTCTATGTGCTCTATGTGCCACCATACAATTTATGAGCTGGGCAAGGGGCTGCAGATTGAAATGCACAAAGACAGAGATAGAGAGAGAGAGAGAGAGAGAGAGAGAGAGAGAGAGAGAGAGAGAGAGGAGGGGGGTCATCCTTGAAACAGAAATGCCACAAGAATGCACCCTTTATTGTGTTCAGGTGCATCTTATATAGAGATAGCCATACCCAAGTCAAGTGTACTAGAAACCATTCTCCTACCATCCAAACCTCCTGTGGGTCTCATACTCAGAGCAGCTATATGCACACAGATTAAAAGAAAACAAGTTGTTTCAGGATATGGGGGTTCACAGCTCCCAACAACATAAGTCTCTCACCCCCAATTCTCATCTTCTTTCTGTCTATGGATGTACCTATCCACGTCTACTTTGCCTCCACATCCTCCATTATTTCTGACTGTCTCCATCCCTGGCACCTAGACACAGTCCCATCCACAGTGTCACTGGTAGCATGGCCTGTCTGGTCACCAGATGATATATTGTGTTCATTTGGGAAATGCTTTTCACTGCCCAACAGGAGTCCTACCCTTGTGGGCACTCATAGGTCAACCTCCACACTTATACACTGATGAGAATATCAAGGATGTCCCCTAAATGAAGAGCCCTCTCCCTGCTTCCCGGAGACAACATTGTCTATGTCCTTTCAAATCCCCCTCTCTACCAAGCCTCCTGGAGGCATCTGCTTGGAGGCCAGAAATGCAGTTCCCGGGGAATGTGTATGTGTGTTTGGGGGGCATGTGTCAGTGGTGGGTGGTAGGCTCTGAGTTTGTAGAAATGCCAGGCAGTCCAATCACAATGAAAGTACTGCAATTTCTGTTTTTCCCAATGCTCTCATCCTCCAAGCCACACATAAAGACACTGTCCACACCACAAACATGCAATGTCGACTGGACCACTCCATACTTAAGCTCACATGAGCTGGAACTGAAGGATGGAGCCTTAAAAGTCTTCAGCTACATCCCACTGTGCCCTAAAAGCTGATCTGCCCTCCAGAACTGTTACACACTGTGACCTCTTTGGCACTTCTTACGGACTCTTGTAGGACTAGTTTTCTGCACAGGGACAAAGTATAAACCAAACCAAACACACACACATACACACACACACACACACACACACACACACACACAAACACAAACATCCCCAAACACAGTCAAAGAAGCACATAAACATTTTGTAGTAGTCCCTTCTGTTTGTGTGCTGATTCTATTTGATAATGAATAAAGAAACTGCCTTGGCCTAGCTGATAGGGCAAAACTTAGGTAGGCAGAGAAGATGGAAATGAATGCTGGGGAAAATGGCAGATTAAAAGACAATGTGGATCTCCTGCCTTAGAGCAATGCTGTTTAGAAATTTTCCAAGAAAGCCACATTAACATGGCAATACACAGATGAATAGAAATGGATTAAATTAAGATGTAAGAATTAGCCAATAAGAACTTAGAGATAACAGACCAGACTGTGTTTAAATGAATAGTTTCTGAGTGATTATTTCAGGTGTGAAATAGCCAGGTGGCAGGGATGTCAAGCTGTCCACTCTACCTGTTACTCAAACATACACACACTCACACACAGACACAGACACACACATGCATATACACACACATACACACACACAAAGGAATTCAAGGATGTCAGATCAGTCGATCTGTTAATTTCAAAGACATCTCTGAGAATTCATGTAGCTGAGATGATACCTGGACACTGCAAAGCAGGAGAAGAAGCTTTTTGACCCTTAAACATGTGACTTCTCCTTGGGTTTTTAGCAGGTAGGCTGCGCAGAAGAAGAAAGGTGTATGCTGCCTGCATTAGGATCCCTTATCAAAAAGAGGGGGTTTGTCAGGGGAGGCAAGGGCAGTGAAAAATTGTATGGATGGGCATCCTGTATTACATTCCATACTCCGGCATCTTCTTAGATTCACCCTGAGTTATTACACCTAATTGAGCACAGTTCCCATTAGGTACACAAGTAGGTGGTACATGATGATATTGGTAACAGGTTTCTTCCAGACACCTGTATGGTTCTGAGGATGTAGCTGTGAATCATCTTTTCTGGTAAGTCCCAGTCCCTGAATTGAGAGCCCACCCAAGCTCAAGGAGGAAGCCATTTCCCAGAGAAAGCAAAGAAAAGCCAGGGAGGGCCCTGCAGACAGAGAGGAGAAAGAATGACAGGGAGGGAGTTCTGTGACAAACATTTTGCCACCATGGTTACCTGTTATTCATTCACTGAGACCATGAATGCCTGGCCAGAAATGTTGGGCATTGTGCATAGTTTCTGGACAAAAAATGTGTGTGGTGCTTGGGAGGCTGAGCCAAAAGCTAGAGGTTCCCTGGGCAGGCTTGTGTACATAATGTCAAAAGGAGATCACAACAAGGTCATAAGAGGAATCTGGGGGCAGACCACCTCCCCTGCAGAGAGTTTCTCTGATCCTGCCATTGATGGCAGCCTCAGGACTAGTGACACTGTGCTTCCCTTACCTGGCAAACCAAGGGCTGGAGCACTCATCATGGGTCAACTATGATTGTCCAGCTGCCTCTCACACCTCTCATGGGTTAAAAAACTTCAGGTGACTATATTAGTTGCACTGGGGCACTACTAGGGGAGCTGATGTTTGCACAGCCTGCTGCCGTGTACACAGGAGCATGGGGGAGGTGCTGGTGGGATCTGAAAAATAATTCTGCATAGTGACAGTTGTTCACATAGAGTGCCAACTGTTGCATGACACAGGTGAACTTCCTCCTCTTTCTCCAAAGCGAAAATAAAGGAAACCCGGTGCATCACACTCCAAGATGGTTACCGACCAAAGAACTAGGCCAGGACTGGCCATAGATGGGTCTCTAGGACTGCTGCAAGGGATCTAATGGCCTATGGACCTTTGTGGAGTAGAATAATTCTGTGCAGAGATAGGCTTCAGGGACCTCAAAGGCTTCTCTCTTACACTGCCCTGAGACACTGGTCTGTGTGCCACTGCTAGTCCCTGAAGGTTCCTCCACTGATTCTAGGGGAGCTCTGCTTGCAAGACTGCAGGCCACTACAGCTGCTGAATATCATTCTGGACCAGAGTGGAGGAGCCTCAGAATCAAATTCAAATTCATGAACTTGGGAACCATCAGCAGAAGGTGACTGTCAAGTTGGGAGCATAGACCCCTTACATCTATCCCAGTCCCCAGGCCTGAGAGTTGTATTGGTCTGGACTCCAAATCCCAACAGGCTAGGTCCTGAACCCTGCTCAGGACCACTCTCACAGGGTATTTAAATGAACTTCCAGAAGAGGAACACGTGGTCCATTTTCCTTCCTCCTGGTGGTGGCATTTGTAGCCTCCCTGTTCCCCATTGGGTCTACCCAAGAGCGCAGGAATCCCATTAATTTGGATATTTTTTAATATGGATTGTTTTGATTTGACTTGATTGAGTTTTTATGTCAGCAGAAAGCTCATGTTAGGAAAGATTCCCAACATCTTGGGGGTTCCACTTGATAGGGCAGGCCCTTTCTGTGTGGCCCTAGGCCATGTGTCAAAAGCCACCTAGTCTACAGTCTGAGTTCTCCAAGCCATGCTAAATACAACTCCTGGGGAAAACAGTTGAATCTTGATGAGTCCCTTTTTTTTTCTATGCTACAGGATTTTGAGGGGACCCATTCACCTTATTTTAGTCTTTTTATCTGATCCCCGTTGAAGCAATGAACACACACCAGGGGTCTGATTCCAGCAGCAGCCAGACCACAAGGGCAGCCTCAGCTGAGGTAGAGATTGGTTTGTTCTTTGGGACGCCAAGCATTCAATTTCCACAACCCCATTTGGACCAAAGAGCCCTTTTGGTGGACGTGCTGGACTGGATTTAGCTCACGTGTTTGGGCATAGATTTTAAAATGGGCACTTGCAGTTCAAAGTCAGACCCGTTGTTGCCCTTCAGATGCCTGGTGCAGGAGAATTATCTGTATTCTGTCAATCGTGTATTTTAATAAAACGCTGATTGGCCAGGCAGGAAGTATAGGTGGGTCAACCAGACAGGAAGTAGAGGTGGGGTGATAAGAACAGGAATATTCTGGGAAGCAGGAAGCTCCCTCTGCCATTCCTACCCAGACTACTGAGGAAGCAACATGTGAGCTGACAGCTGAGAAAGGTATTGAGCCACATGTCTAACATAGACAAGAATTATGGGTTACTGTAAGATGTAAGGATTAGTTAATAAGAAGACTGAGCTAATGCGCCAATCAGTTTATAATCTTATGGAGTCCTGTGTGTCATTTTCTTTGGGGCTTGCCGGCTTTTGGGTACTGGGTAGGACAGATACCCCAACAAGCTGGCCCTCATGTTACAGATGCCTCTTACAAAATCTTTTTAAATTGGGCTTGTCTGTCTTATACCATCTGTCTCAAATGGCTAATTTCCCTATGTACTAAGTCTTGAGCTTACCATTATTTGGGAACTAGAAAATTTTTGCCACTGTGAAGACAAATGGACTTGCATATATCCATGGGTTTTGGGGCTCCGCGCTCTTCTTGCCTTCTTCTTAGTGGCCAATGTCTCACTATGCTGCTGGAAACACTGGCCCCTCCCCCACTCACTTAAGCCCACACTACTAACTGGCTCTTGTGGAGCAACATTCTCCTCATTCCTCTCCTTCCTTGTCTAACCCTCCTTTCTTAATCCAGAGCTTAAAGGTCAGCTTTCACTTTACCCACCTTTTCCTCCCCCTCCTACCTCATCTCTCCAACCTTGGACATCCTCTGTTAACTGTGCTAGCCCCTCCCAATCCTCTCCATTCTCCTTCCATACCATATCCCACTATAGCCCCACCCTTCTCTGCCCACTCCAGGAGGTAGTGAGAGCTAATGGCATTATGAAAGTTCATGTTCCTTTTTCTCTTCCAGATAAAAAGTGGCTAGGTTCCTTTTCCACTAACCCTTCTGCTTATATCAAGGAGACTTTTATTTGTCCCAGACCTATAATCTTACCTGGCAGGACTATTACATAATAGAAGCTTCTATTATCACTTCTGATGAGCAAAGTTGAATTCAAATAGTAGGTAGGCATTATGCAAACCAGACCCATTTGATAGACAATACAGTCCCCGTGGGAGAAGTGATTGTTCCAGCCACAGAACAAAAGTGGGACTATCAACCTGACCAAAGTGGCCAACAGACGTGGAACATCATTGTCTGTTGTCTCCTTCAGAGTATGGAAATGGTTTCAGAAAATGTAGTTAATTTTGGCAAACTCCAAGAGATTACACAGCTAGCAGATTAAAATCCAGCCTTTTTTTTTAAATCGGTTACTAGAAACCATAATATACCAGGCTAGGTCCAGCTTCCCCAGCAGGAGTCACAGTCTTGGCTACCCATTTTATTTCTCAGGCAGCACCAGATATTAGGAAAAGTTAAGGAAGTTTGTGGGGGTACACACACCCCTATGCAGGAATTGATGAAAATGTCCTGTAAAGGTTTTAATGATCAAGAGGAATCTGCTGAGTATTTCTGACAGACAAAGTTACAGCAGGCATCAGTTCTTCTATGGTTAGTCATCTCCTCTCTCTAAGATACATCATGGATATAGTTGTTCTCTGTATCCAACATAATGTACCTGGCAACCAAATCTTGAGTCCAGTAGGTGGCACTGTCTAAGTGGTTCTTTCTTCTAAGCCAGCTTCTTTCTCATATCCATGTTCCTACAAATAGATTTGAAGTGCTCCTAGTCAGGTAATATCCAACTACACTAACCTCATTGATCACCCTCATCTGAGTTCCACAGCTGCCTGTCCACTGACATCTTCAATTCCTTTACAATAGTAGTCCTGGAGGCTGTCTTCTCAGGACTCTCTGTCCCAATCCCTGTGACCCGTGCTCTCAGAAATGATTCTTGTGACAGTTTACCCTACCTTTCTTTTTAATTTTAAGTCCAGTCTGAATATGGCCCTTATCCCATTGGGGGAGGAATGAGATCTTTCACTCCCCACTGCTCATAGAGTAGTTGTTCTCATTTTATTTTATCAGGACTCCACAATCTTGCCTCAACTAAGGTTTTTTGGCTTTGCCTTCTTCTAATCCTTTATCATAAGTTACTCATCTTAAAATATTTGTCCGCAAAGCACTGTCTTCTTCACACTTTTGTTGGGGATATCTAGAAAGAGAATATTCTCTTCCATGTTCACTTCTTATCACTTTTGAGTGTCCACCTCAGTTGGTTTTTAACATAACTTTCCTAATCACATCAGCTGGAAGTGACCGCCACCCTTGTTTCGGCTTCTCTGGGATTTTGTTAGTGCCATGCAGATGTTTCAGTGTTTCTTTTTGTGGATCAGTTGAAGGTATAAAGCATGGATCCAGTAATAGGACCATATGAATGGAGACTCACAACTACCCAATTGTTTAGGTTCAAATTTCCTAATACCTATTAGGTGTGGAAATTGGAAAGATTCCTTAACCTCAGGTTTTGAATTTGTAAAATGAAATGCAAGTGCTTGCTCTGCAGGACACTTTATTAAATAAAATTTTGTGAACACTGAAGAGTATAATAACAGCACAAAAAAGTATTATATAATATTTTTCTATGTGCTTTGTCTTCTGCAAAACTAAAGCTCTTTAAGAATATCACTCAAAGAGCCTACTGTGTTAGTGTAATATCACCATAGAACCTTCATCCAGCAAGTGATGGAAACAGAGGCAAATACTCGCACTGGAGCACTGGACTGAGCTCCCAAAGTCCAGTTGAAGAGTGGGAGGAGTAAAAATATGAGCAAAGAGGTCAAGACCATGATAGGGACACCCACCAAAACAGTTTACCTGAGCTAATGGGAGCTCACCAACTCCAGCCAGACAGGAAAGGAAACAGCATAGGTCCAAATTAGTCCCTCTGAATATGGGTGACAGTTGTATGTCTGGGACAGACTGCCAGACCACTGATAGTGGCACCAGGATTTATCCCTATTGCTTCTACTGAGTTTTTGGGAACCCATTCTCTCTGGATGGATATGTTGTTCAGCATATATATAGTAGGGAGGCTCTTGGACCTTCCCCAAAGCAATGTGCCTTACCCTCTCTGAGGAGTGAAGAGGGTGGGAAGAGGGGATAAGTGGAGGGAATGGGAGGAGGGGAAAGAGTGAGAACTGGGATTGGTATGTAAAATGAAAAAAGATAGTTTATTTTCCTTTTTAAAAACTAATAATTTTTATATGAAAAAGAAAATCAGGACTGCAAGGGATGCGATCACCCACTGATACAAGGGGACGGATCTAATGAGAGTTTACCAAGGCCAGTTGGACTGGGATTGAACAAGGACGTGATCCAACCAGATTCTCTGAATGTGGCCAGATTCTCTGAATGTGGCTGGCCCGGAGTCTTTCTGAAAAACCATTGACAATGACACTGGGACTTGTTTCCTCTGCATATATTGGATTTTGGGGATCCAGTCTGTTTGGACACTCACCTTCCTGGACCTGGAGGGAGGGGGCAGGAACTTGAACTTCCCACAGGGCAGGAAACCCTGACTGCTCTTAGGGATGGAGAGAGAGGAGGAGAGGGAGTGGGGGAGTGGGAGGGTGTTGGGATGAGGGGCAGAAATGGAAACTTTTATAATTTAATAAAATTACTTTCTTAAAAAAAATATATACCCAAATATCTATCGTTTATAAACCTCCTGAGAATAAGAAGACAAAATAATATGTCCCACATGACCCTTGACAAAGAGCTTTGGATAAGGTGCGGATGTAGAAATATTGACACAATTCTAAATCTGTATCACAAAATTTCCTGAATGCTTTCAAGTTATTTCTCAGTTGTTAGGCCTTAAGATGGTAGTTAGCCATATTCATCCAGGGATCTATTCTATAGACAACACATTTGAGAGCACCTCAGATTTCAAAGCTAATTCATTTTAAAGCAACCTGCAGTATCTATAACACTTTAACGCTTTAAAGTAGAAAAATAAATATATTTGTACAACAAATTAACTGTAGTTGAATTGAAGAATTGTTGCATATGTTTTAGACCAACATTGAATTTGGAGAAATAACAGAATTTGAATTAACTTACTGACAAAGTCTCATAAAGTATGTAATTTTGTTTTTTCCTTATGAAAGATACACATAAAATAATAAATTTCCCAATAACTATAAAAAAACAAAAAAAACAAAACAAACAAACAAAAAAACTAATAATAATTTTTAAAAAGGTTGTTCCAAAGAATTATTGACAGGATGCTGAGTAAATGCCCCTGAAGAAGGAAAGTTCTTAGGCACCAAATGTAAAAATTATATGTGGATGATTTCAGGAAGAAAAAATATTCTAAAGTAGATAGAACATAATGATTTTTAATCTGTTTTCTTATAAGGATATGCTTTGGTGTAAGGCATAAAAGAGAATCTATTTAATTAAATATGATAGTATTATCTAAAAAGATGCTTACCAGTTCTGTAAAGTGCCAAAAATGTATTAGGGAATAGGTAATAACTATAATGATGGCCTCTACCCTATTTTATGAGGCGTTCTGTTGTTTTGCCTATTTAAGCGAGAAAGGGTCAATGATGAGAGTCTCAGAAAGCCTGCCCCTTAATGGAAGAGAGGTACTGAATTACCTATTAGCAAATAAACATCCGGGTATATACTTTCCACTTGGTAACCTGAGTTGCAAATGGTACAAAAAGCCAGTCAACTTTGTGGGAACCTAGTCTGTTTAGATGCTCACCTTCCTAGATCTGGATGGAGGGTGGAAGACCTTGGACTTCCCACAGGGCAGGAAAGCCTGACTGCTCTTAGGACTGGAGAGGGAGGGGAAGGAGGAGGGAGGCAGTGGGAGGGAAATGGGAGGAGAGGAGGTGGAAATTTCAAATAAATAACTAAATAAATAGCCAGTCAAGATTTCTGGAAGAGTACTGAAGGCAATTGTGGCCATGCTCATTCCCCTCACAGCTGAGCTTGTATTCGTAGACACAGCCTCATTCTCTGGTTTCCTTTTCTCTCAGGCTCTGAAGCTACAATGGTGTTATCACACACTACTTCATGTCTTGTCATTTTTCTTTCATTATTTTGATTTTTCTCTCATGATACGAATCAGTGTTTCTCTTGTCGTCGTAACTTTAAGGGCTGTGGTAATATTTCCTTCTTCACTGGTATCGCAAGCACAGTCTAGTCATTCATTTTCTCCTCCCATCCTGATGCACCACCTGATTTTAGTTGGTGTTACATTTACACACTATCTGATACTAAAACCATCTCTTTCCAGATTGAAAGTCAATAGAAATTTAGGACTGCACATGTTGTTATTTTTCTGCTGGTTTCAGATTTATTTCCTATTTATTCTCTTTAGCCCTGCGGAGTTGTTGATGGCATAAAAGGTGTAACTCTTAGATATTCAATCACTCAGATTTAGTTTCTATAGATTTCACTTAGTACAAAGTCATATTCAAGATTTTATTTGTTCTAAATCTGAACACAGACCCAAAAAGAGAAATATGGTATGTACTCACTCATAGGTGGATCCTAACCATAAACAGAGGACATTGAGCCTATAGTTCATGATCCTAGAGAAGCTAAATAAGAAGGTGAACTCAAAGAAAAACATATATTTTTTCCTCCTGGATATTGAAAGTTGACAAGATCATCAGGTAAAAGTTAGGAGCAGGGGGTGGGGGTGGATGGCGGGAAGGGAAAATGGGGAGAGAGAAGGGAGAAGGGGAGGATTGGGGAGAGCTTGGGGGAATGGGATAATTGAGATGGAGGAAGGGTGTATATGGGAGCAGGGAAGAAGTTATCCTAATCAAGGGAGCCATTTTAGGGTTGGCTAGAGTCTTGGCTCTAGAGGGGTTCCCAGGTGTCCAAGGGGATTTCCCCAACTAATTCCGTGGGCAGCAGAGGAGAGGGTGCCTGAACTGGCCTTATCCTATGGCCACTCTGATGAATATCTTGCATATCACCATAGAACCTTCATCTGGCGATGGATGGAGATAGAGACAGAGACCCACACTGGAGCACTGGACTGAGCTCTCAAGGTCCAAATGAGGAGCAGAAGGAGTAAGAAAGTCAGGACCATGAGGGGTGCGTCCACCCACTGAGACAATGGGGCTGATCTAATGGGAGCTCACCAAGGCCAACTGGACTGGGACTGATGGAGCATGTGATCAAACAGGACTCTCTGAATGTGGCTGACAATGAAGGCTGACTGAGAAACCAAGGACAATGGCACTGGGATTTGATTCTACTGCATGGACTGGCCTTGTGGGAGCCTAGTCTGTTTTAATGCTCACCTTCCTAGACCTGGATGGAGTGGGGAGGACCTTGGATTTCCCACAGGACAGGGAGCCCTGACTGCTGGTAGGACTGGAGATGGAGGGGTAGAAAGAGTTGGGGGAGTGAGAGGGAATTGGGAAGAGGGGAGGAAGTGGAAATTTTTAATAACTAAATAAATAATTTTAAAAAGATATTATTTGTTCTAAATCTGTAGATTACAAACGTAGTTAAATTTAGAACCTTTTGTCATGAAATGTTGAAATTATTTTGTAAAGCAATCAAAGAAGTTAGGGCTTGGTTATATAGACAGTAACACAAAGTCTTCATCACAGCACTCTAAAGGGTAATACAGATAATAACTCCAGCTTAAGGCCACCCTGGTCTACAAAATGAGATGCTGTCTCAAAAAAGAAAAAAGTTCTCTTGCAGACACCAAGGGATAGTGGGAGTTTTGTGTCATAATTTCTCTAATGTGGCAGAAATGTTTCCAAGCTACTTTCAAGAAACTCTAAAGGTACAGGGATGGTGAAATTTGAGGTTTAAAGGATTGTTTATTTTTTGGCATGCTTGGCTCAGACCTCCTCTAAGATATAACGAATACTTGTGTGTCGAAAAGAGGGAATTTGCAGTAATTGTAGTTAGTAGTATTTCATATATAATAACAACTATTAGAAAGGCAGAAGAGAAGAACTATGGCTATTTTTCTCTAGTTGAAGAGTAGATTAAAGGTTTTTTTCACAAAACTAAAAAAGGCCACCATGGTACGGTTGCAAATTTTTATCTATATCTTGTTACAATCTATAGCAAGAAGGATGGCCCACTGTGTTTTGAAGTTAACTCCTAGCGAATTCAGACAGCTTTTCAAAATAATGTATATTCTTTCCTTTTAGGTCTGACCTATCTACAAAGTGGTCAGCTGGGTAAGTCAAATATTTTAGTTATTGTTAACATAACATTTTTCAATAGCAAACCTCAAATCACCATAAATTATTTCAATGGAGCTGTCTGCTTAATAAATATTGTTATTAAATTATACTCTTTTCAAAAATATATTAAAGATAAACCATATTAGAGCAAGAGATGAGTTTCTCTTGGTGGAGAGAGGGAAGCAGACCTTCTGGGCTTACCTGTCATTGTTAGTCTATAGTGTGACCTCATGAAAGTTGAACACTGACAACTGCCGAGCTTCATGCAATGCTATTCTTAGAATGCCTATAAGCTCATATAAGCACCAAATTATCTCTCCTACTTAAAAGTAACAAATTCAACAGTCAGTGACAGGTTCTGAAGCAGAAATTTCTGAATTCATCTGTAAACATGCTCATATCAGTCACCTCTACCAAGAGACCAGACATTGGAGGTGCAGTGAAAGAAACAGTCAAAGCCAAACTGTAAGCACATGTCACTGTTTTCTGCATCTGATCACCATTTTTCTTAATCCTGGCCAATTCAGGTCCAGCCTAACAACTAATGTACAACTTCACCAATTGGGCCAAGTATCAGCCTGATGTGAGAAGTATGACACCTGGCGATGTTGACCCCTGCCTGTGTACTTACATAATCTATGCCTATTCTGAAATAACAAAAAAAAAGCAAATCACCATGATAAATAGTAAGAATTCAAATAACTACCAAACTTTTAATGACTTGCAAAGCAAGTAAGAGAAGGAGGATGTCTAGTTTTGTAACTTTTGACTCACTATATAACATATATCAATGCTTCAGGTAATGCCTTTCGTTTCTATTTTTATTGACATAGGTTGCATATATTACTGTGAACAGCACGTTTTGAGTTATTATACATTGTAGAATGATTCCTGACCTGATTGCCGTGTTCATTACCTCACACACTTATCTTTTTGCAAATGATATCTATTCTGTTGCCAAGTTCCAAAATATTATGCACTTTTATAAACTAATGGCACCACATTGTACAGGGGTGATCTCTTTCTAAAAGACAATTTCTTAAAGTATTTCAAGGGCACAAGGCCTGAGGAATATCTTGTGTGGCTTCTGCCTATTTTCTGGGAAGGGAAAAACAAGACATATTAATAAATAAGATTTTCTTAACCCCTTACATTTTTCATTGTAAGCCTAACCTTTAATGACTAACTCATTAGGGATGACTGAGTGAAAGAAAACACGGGGGAGCAAAAGATGAGGAGAAAACTGGAGGAGAGAGAGAGAAAAAAACTTCAGTCAGGTTGTAATATATGAGAGAAGATTTTTTAAAAAATATTTTATTGAGTGCAGAAGAACTTGGGGACTGTTTGAAGAAAGTGCATGATGAGCTAAGAAAGCTTGTTGTTCAAAATAACAAGAAAAATTGGGATAGTTAGACTTAAAAATAACAAATAAATGAAATACTAAGATACTATAGCTGAAAAGACTAGTGATTGAAAAGGAAGGCCAGCTTTCCTTTTCTAATGAAAGAGAGAAAGGGAGTGAATCGAGAGAAGAGAAGACGCAGGGTGGGGGGGTAACTGGGATGGGTAGAGAGAGGGGAAACTGTAATCAAGATATAGTATATGAGAAAAAATCTGTTTTCAGTAAAAAGGAAAAAAGAAAAAGGGGAAAAAAGGAAGATCAGGAGAACCGCAGTAATATATATCACTATTCTTTAGGAGTCCTGCTAAAGTGCTTGGAAGCAGAAATTGAGCAGGAGAGCATTTTTATTCCAATGTGTTGAGATTACTACGGCCTTATCCGACAGTCTTTCATCTCCCTCAGTTCAGAGCCATGATCTCCACTCCTAGGAGCCATCAGACTTTTACTAACTCAGTCATCACATTCCTGCACCAGTATAACTTTGGTGGACTGAGCCTCTACTTGTTGCACCCTGGTTCATGGGATTAGTATTTCTTCACTGCCCTGATACAGATGGAAAAAGCAAGAATAGTCTTGTAGTCTAAAAAGATTCAAATTCCAGTCTTTCCTTTAAGAATTGAGTGATTGCAGAATAAAACTAAAGAAGAATTTAGAATTGCATTCTAAAGATTCTTGGAGAGCTATAGAGCATTCATTCAACAACAAGCTATATGCCAGACATTGTTTTACAGGCTGTACTAACAATTATAATTTATTTCATCTTCACATTATGACATAGGTATCATACACATTATAATGCTTATTTTATAGAAAAGCAACAAAGATTCTGAAATGATGTTGATGGCTAGTGTCATCAACACGTGTTTCCTATTTACAGTACTTCAGCAACTGTACAATCTTGTCCTTGGTTACTAATACATGCTTTGTGAGAAATAATTACTATAGGTTACAAATAAAAATAAAAGCTTCTCAACTTTAAAGAACAATATGAGCTTGCCATATGGTACTGACATCATGAGCAATAGAAGATAGCAACTAAGGGAAATAGAATGGAATGATTAAAGTCAAGAATTATTGTTAAATTTTAGACTTACTTCTTTCTTAGATAGATTCTTCTCTATCTTGATCCATACACCAAATCAGCAGCTAGCTTTGGAATGACTTCGATATGAAATAACCAGTTAGGTTAATGTCAATTTTTTTTTTGTTGGACAGTACTAATTATCAGAAACAGTTCCTGCATTTATAGGTGAAACATACCTCCATGGAAATTTCTAACATCCATACACTGATTCTAATTCTGTCAGTTGAATTAGCAGAAAATAAAATGACACATATTTTTTATGCATTCAGTATTTGAAGATATATATAACTCTCTGTTTTTCTTCATTAGTCACTATTGAGCATTCTCCTTGATTGCCGTTTGGAAACCCAAGTAGTGCCACTATATGATATAATTTCAATATTCAAACAAAATTAGAGGCACAAAAATTACAGGTAGATTAATATCTGGTACATCCTTTTATTGCCTCCTCCCCATTGATCAGCTAAACATTTCAATGGATACACGTTAGCTCTATGAAATAATCTACCAATGATTAAATTACAGCTATTTCCAATGGCAAAAGATAAATTCAAGGATATGTGGCTTCATTGTGTAAAGATGAAGGAAAACCTAATAGTCATCTGGGATATTGATTCTGATTCTGAATGGTTATCATTTGTGGGAATTTATAAGATTTATTGATACTACCCATACTACGATATTATTGTGATATTGGTATAACTAAAGTAAGATAAAATATACTAAAGCACCTTTTGTGTAATTATATACTACCTAAGGAGCTAAAATCAACTGTAAATACACTATAGTGTGTCCTATTATTCTCTCGGAAGTGTGAGAAGCTTTTGGTCAGGATGCAATCAGGAATAATCTGTCCAAATTGATGATCACTGCAACAGGAGCCACTTTGTCTCCATCATCCAGACTGACTATGAGCTCTTCTGTCAGAGTGACTGAAGCACCTTAATATAGAACTCCTGAAGGAGTATGGGTGGAATACACTTACTCTTGGCATTTCTTGAAGCTCTATAATTTTTTTTCAGGATTTGGGTAGAGTGTATTTTGCCTACATATGTGTGAGACATGAATAAAACAGAAATGTTTTGAAGACCTCTCCCCTCCCCCAGGACCCTTGGCTACATCCAGATCATGACCTATGATATCCATGACTATTGGGATGATTGCACCAGAGAAAAAGTCCTCTCTTCACATTCCCAACTGACAGCAATACCCAGCTAACAGTGTTAAGACCCTACACTTACATTAATACACACCAGGGACAACATAAACTGTGTAGGAATTCTGGCACAAAGTAAACAAAAGTTAAGCAAATGTAGTCTTAAGTATTGCTTGTATCTCATTAACTATTACTTTATTTGAATGTTTTGAATAAAACTAAAGTATGTATAGTTAACATGATACAGTTTACCTTTGAGGACAGGGAACCAGCAGAGCCAAGCACAGAGGATCATCTTCTTGGAGCCCATAGCCAACGTGTTGTTACTTTAGGATTACATCATGAATTACTGGAAGGACAATAGAGCTGCAGCTGAGAATGTCATTAGATTCACAGAAGATGAACAAGACTTCATCCCAAAAGACCCACTGAAGACAATGGCCCTACTATTGGCTGAGGTCCACCAGGATACTACATGGCTAAATGAATAATCTGCGCCTACTATGAGGTCAATGGATTGGCTTTATTTGAACATCATACACAGAGCTGTACAGTGCCCTAGGGGTCAAAATATGTTGAATCTTATGTTCAGTATGCCTTCTACCTACTTACTCTAAACAGTGTCACACCAGGTATCTAAAATGTTTACATAGTATGAGTATCTATCTTTTATTTTGTCTGTGAGACTCTAGAACTTGTTGCATCCTCACTATGAGCCACCATACCTATAGTTCTCTTCACCTCTAGGAGGTGCCATTGCCTCATCAAGCTCACCAGTCTACTCTGCTGTGTGTTTCAGGTTGCATTACCTCTGCTGTCCAGAGGGCGCTAGTAATGACTCTTTCAGAAAATAGAAGCAGTCATGAAAACAGGACCTCTGAGTCAGTGGGTCCGTCATCACTGAGTGAACGAATGGATGAATGAATGAATGAATGAATGAAATTTATGCCCTGGCAATGCTGAAGCAATTATGGGCAGCCTTTATTGACTTTCATTGTCTACGTTGATGAGGATGACTACCAGGTCCCTTCCTCAAGAGGGCACCAGATCTCATTACAGATGGTTGTGATCCACCGTGAGGTTGCTGGGAATTGAACTGATCTTGGGAAGAGCAGGCAATGCTCTTAACCTCTGAGCCATCCCCAGGGTAAATAATAGAAGTGCCTTCCAGTACCTGAATGGAGTCACATGTTGACAGAAATGCCAGGGAAACTATTTTTTGAACACCAGCTTGTAATTGCTATACCTCTACCTGATCTGTGACCTGTCCTCAGGGCTCTTAACAGTCTCTTATTCCTGGCAAAAGTCATCTTGCTTCTACCTAAAGATCTAAAATAAAATTAGTAGGCAGAACATGAGTGTCTTTGGTTTCTGCAATCTCTGTGGAAACCTTTTCTCAATGTATAAGTAACAGCTGTGCATGAGGGGAGTGGGGCAGAAGAGAGTGTGTGCAGAAATGGTGGAGCCAGCTACCTCACCATCTTCTGTAGGACTGGGCCTATTTTCATGACTTCTGAGACTGTAAATAGGAAATGTTCACATGTTTGGTGAGTTGATCAGGATGAGGGCATTTATAAGACAAGTGACTAGCCTAGACCATTCTCTGGAAGGCACTGCACTGACTCCATATCAATGTTCATCACTGAAGGAAGTCAGCACAGGAGTGCTGAATCCTGAAGGAAGACCATTCTCTGGAAGGCACTGCACTGACTCCATATCAATGTTCATCACTGAAGGAAGTCAGCACAGGAACCAGACACCTGGAGGCAGGAACTGATACAGAGGTCATGAAGGGATGCTGCTTACTTGTCTTCTCCTCATGCCTTGTTCAGTTTGCTTTTCTTATAGAACCCAGAACCACCATCCCAGGGATAGTATGACCCACAATGGGCTGGTCCTTCTCCCATCACTCCCTAATTAAAATACCTTGCATGCTTGCCTACAACCTGATCTGACAGGGAAATTTCCTCTTCTCAGATAACTTTAGCTTGTGTCAAGTTGTCATAAAACCATTCAGCACAGGGGTTACATATATGTTATCCCTGAATGTTGAGTAAGGGGTGTTCATTTGCTAGAATTGTCGTTTGTTATTCTATATAAGGTCTTATATAGTCCTGTCCACCAATTTTATGTAAACTAGGCTGGCCTCAAACTTTTGACTTTCTTGCCTTCATATCCTAAATGCTGGGATCACAGATTTGAACTAGCACATCTAGGTCAGAGTTTTACAAATTCTTTTACTAATGTATTACACATACTTGAAAGTATATCAGTCAAAATGAAAAGATTGACAAAGTACACAGGAACATGGTGCAAAAAATGGAACCTCACTATCACGCCGAAACTTCCCCATATAGCCTCTTCCTGTTCCATCCAACATGCCCTGCACAGCTCCTAGCTCCTAGATTATATTTTTATATTACTTATTTTTAATTTTACACAGTTGCATCAAGTACAGAGGATGCAAGGGATGGCTTTGTAGATGGCACCAACATTTTCTACGGTTTTCAAATAATGGAGTTGGACCATTTAAAAACTCCTTTAAAAACTCCTTTTAAAAACTGACCCATAGATCCCGGATGCGACCAATATTGCATCCAGACCTGTAAATCTGACAGCGAGGTTTGGCCAAAACACTCATTGCATATTGAGAGCTATCAATACTTATAAAAGGTTTTTGTCTCAGATAGAAGTATGTATTATAACATTTTATAAAGGATATTGACATCTTATGATTCTGCGATTTACACAAAGTAAAAATAGTGTGATACCAGAATTTTTAACAACTGCTAGCAATTAATTTAGTTAAAATACTTGACAGAAACTCCAAGGACTGTCCCGTCCAAAAATTTTACAATGAACTTACTGAAGTCTGGGGTTCCCCCAGATTCCCATCAACGTCAAGTACAGTCTTCTGGGAAGAGATGTTTTGAGGTATCCTTAGACAGTCTGTATACATTGGATAACTACACATTCTCATTTAAATAAAGAATTTTCAAATGTTTGCAACAACAAAGCTTTAGAAATGACTAGTCTTATTTCCCTCACCTTTAATAGGGAGAAAACTGACCAGAAATCTTTAATTACAGATCCAAGACCCCACCTACAATTAAGATTAAAACCAAAAGTTTACACTTCCTGTATCTTGACTTCAGCTTGATATCCTTTGCTAGTTTTGGACTGAAGTTTTCTAATCTTTTGGTGGTTGTTTTCTGCCCTGCTGAAAAAGGTAACTCTAGTGAATCACACATGTGCACTGTGAGTGCACACTTGCAAACACACACTCGGTGGTGTGTTTCTAAGGGCATCTATCTTGTTATTCTAGCCAGTTGTCCAGGCCCAACCACAGTAAACTAAAGAAAGTCATCCTTGATTTCCCCACTTTTCTGACCCGATGCCTTACTATGATGGTAGATGAACAAGCAGCACCATCTTGTGGTAATTGATGGGAAGTTCAATGTTGTCTACTGTCTGTAATCATTTCTCAACTTCTTTTTGGCAAGGGTTACCTTGGAAAAAAATGGAAGAATACATAGGGAAAAGGGAGTATCATAACCCTGAAATGTAGAAGCACCAAAAACAAATGACCAGAAAGGAAACATCGACTAATCTCAAGAGTGGGGGTGGTCTGTTTTTAATACGGCAAAGTGATCTTTCCTAGTTTTTGCTAACAGGCTCTTTCCTGAAACTATATCTCTTGCATTGTTATCTGAAGCCTGCATCAGAGAGGTCTAATTTTGGTGCAAAAGACAGGGGCTTTTATAACAATGTGCCAAGCCAAGGAATAGATGGCCTTTTTAGCATATCCCTACGGGGGCACTTGGAGCCCTGCTAAGAGGATCACCTACAAAGCAGACAGGAGTGGGGTTTAGAGAGTCCTAAGGGTCAGTGCAAGGACAGCAGGATTTGAAGAAGGCATTTAAAGACAGGTGAGACCTGTGAACCTGTACCATACCCAGAGAACCTGAAAAAAAAAAACTCAGACCTAGGAAATAGCCAGGAAGTTAAAGAATGAACTTCTGGGCCTTCTCCCCCTACACTCACCTTGTCCATGGACTCTTTCTGCATGAGAAGTTATTGCCAAATCTGAACTAAAATCTCTTGTATAGTGTGCATGCCTGAACTGCTACAAGGTTGTGTAATAACAGATTTTAATCTACTCCCTTTCATTAAGTGGAATGTGAAGCCAAGACCATTTCTTGCTCCCCTCACTCCAGTATCTTCAGAACACATGCTTCAAACAAAACACCAGGGTCTGGCATACCAAGTGGGACACACCTGTAGACCTAGTTCCAGGAGCAAAGGCAGGAAGATGGAGAGCTCTAGGCTTGTCCAGGCAACCTAAGCAATAGCCTACCTAAAAAAAGGTCTAAAAAGGAAGAAGATAAATAAAGACCTCAGTAAGTCATTAAATGAACAACTTACAAAAACAACTGAATGGCCATTTGTTCACTTTTCACTTGCTCTATACACAGTAGCTCAGCTACTGACAGTGTCCTACCGATGAACAAAAGGATGATTTATTGGAAACCAACGTATAGTGGTTGGTGATGAGCTGAAGAATGTTCATAAACATTTGCCCGGGTTGACTCACCTGTGGGAACTTTGTTTAAACACAGGATGTGGGCTCAGATCTTCTTCTCTTCTGTTTCTTGGGGTGGAGGTTTGACACTGAATGTGTCTTTGATTTGCTCGTGAATCTTGATCGGGGAGAGGCTATGAGATCTTCAAAGATGAGACTTAAAGGAGAAAGTGGAAGAGGAGGAAGTAAGCACCAGCCAGTCAGGAGACAAAAGTTCTCTTGGGGACTCATGCTGTAGAAGGCGGGCTGGACTGGACACTGAAGAGACCAGAGATGATCATTTTTTTATTCACCATGCCCAAACGTCTTTGCAAGACAGAGTATATCAAGGTCTTGATGAACTGTGCACAATAAGAACCTCACCCACGGGACTACTTGCAAGAATGAAATGTAACAATGCATAAAAAGTACCTAGCATATTGTTGAGCTCAAACCATGCCTTCAATAAGTGTATATTGTCTTACAAATATTTTCTGGATATTCTTTTCTATTTTCTACCACATTAAAAAGATTGGAAAGTCAGGTGTAGTGAGTCAAACCTGTAATTCCAAAGCTCTCTGGAGGTGGAAGAACAAAAGTCAGGAATTCATGATCATTCACCCTTGGCTACCTAGTAAGTACAAAGCCAGTCTAGGTTATATGAGGTCTTGTCTCAAATGTTAAAAAGAAAACAGAATGGTGACACATGTGTTTAAAGAAGTTGAATCCTGTATTATTAAGGCTTACCAATTAGGGAGTCATGGTCTTTTGCCTGTCCTTTCCTTTTCCCTAGAGTCATGAAACCTAGACTGGTCTGGAGCTGCCACAGCCCAGACAGGAACCATGCCCTATGACACGGGCTGTGTTCTACGGAAGCAGATACAGTCTTTGTGGGCAGATACAGTCTTTGTGGGCCCCAGCTGTTTATCAGACATTGTCACTTGCGAAGGAAGCACAGAAACTGGACAGGAGGCTGGGTTCTGATGTAGCCTTGAGAAGATTCAGCCTGCTGGATGCAAGTTTTACTAATTTTGCTCCCAAGGTTAATCTTTCCCTACATAAACTTGTGGGACCAAGGCCAAGGCCAGCTGAGCAGTGAAGGACACATTTACTCTTGTCCAGTAACAGAAGTGGGGGGAAAACTCACAAGTCGACCTCAGCACTCTTTGTGGGGTGGGAGGAGATCACATAAAAAATGGAGAGGGAGGATGTGCTGATAGAGGAGAGAAGTATTCTCCTTTGGTGGGGGAGGGTGGTAGAGTTGGACAGGACCTCAGGGTGGGTGTCAACTGCTGTGTAGCTGAGATTAATCTTGACCTCCTGATTCCCCTACCCCCATTTCCACAGTGCTGGGATTGTAGGCCTGACTGTCATGCCTGGCTCTATTCTTGTCTTTTCTAGGAAGGGTTGGATATTTTCCAGGAATTAGACCACATTCTCTCTTCATTCCTTTTATGGTTCTTTCCAAACATTAGTATGTCAACTGTCTACTTCCATTACAGTGGGGAGTAGATGTTGTTTAGCAGACATGTGGCACTATAATGAAATTAGAAATTACAGAAGTCATTCTGGCAGCCTATTAGACTCTCTAATTTGAGCTAGCCAACATGAAGAGGGATTTCTGGTTAACATATATAGTCAAGCATGGTAGCTCACAACTCAGTACATAAGAAGTAGAAGAAATGGAATCGGGAGTTCAAAATAAGCCTCTGCTACATAACTAATTATGGGCCATCCTGGGCTATTTGAAACTTTGTCTCAAAAAACAAAGAAAACAAATATTGACTTCCTGTCCTCAAAGGCAAATAAGATCAGGGCACAAGCTAGAGTTGCAACTAGGCTACCTGGACAAGGAAAGATTGGAACAGGGCACCAGAACAACTGAGAGCCACCTGAGCTATCTTACCCCAGAGTAAAGCCTAAGGCTTTATATCCTACATTCAGTCATTAGACATGAACTTCCATGGTGAAGATACGGCCTTAGGCAAATGTATTATCTGCACCCGTGACAGCTCTGAAAACTCTGGCAACAAAAGATGCTGCTAACTGCAGCCTTTCTCTTGATAGCTATTCCCTAAAAGACTGCTCCGAAGAAGAGATGTCTGCATTGGTGAACTTCAACCTTTTGTCAGGGTCAGACATGTAGAGGCAGGTGGTTACTCTTTCTTAAGATCTTTATGGAAGAATCTCATTTGCTTAAATGATGCTGGCCACAGATCATAGCATGCTTTCTCAGACAAGAGTCTCTCGTTGACTGTTGGTGAGGAGGCCTTAGGCAATCAGACATACAAGTAGAAAGAGTCAGAAAGCTCACAACATTGCTACACAGTGGAACAAATAGGTCTCAGCGCTTCTGAATGGTCTTTGGACATGGTTCTGAAAGGCCTCTCTCAGTTAGCATTGCAGATGTCTGGGGAGGTGTTAGAGGGAGCCTTGCTGGGTCAGAACACGAAGACATTCTATAGGACAGGAACTAAAAAGGTGACTGAGAGGGTGGAGGCTCACAGCAACCGAGCTGGAGAAGGGACGGTGGAGCATGAGTGGGAAGAACAGCCTTTGATCTAAAACACCTACAATCTATGCCGCTGTGGAAACAACCTCAGTACACCCAAAATCTATGCCGCTATGGAAACAGCCTTCAGTACACCTACAATCTACACCCTACTGTGGAAACACCCTTCAGTTCACCTACAGTCTACACCCTCTGTGGAAACAGCCTTCAGTACACCTACAATCTACACCCTCTGGGGAAACACCCTTCAGTTCACCTACAGACTACACTCACAGTGGAAACAGCCTTCAGTACACCTACAATCTATGCCACTGTGGAAACAGCCTTCGGTGCACCTACAGTCTACACCCCACTGTGGAAACAGCCTTCAGTTCCCTGACTGAGTTCCACTCCCCCCAGAAGCATTACCTGTATTGAAGATTCTTGACACTGATGAATTGATTAGAATTTACTGAGGAGAGTTGGAATGTTGTATTCTTGTATCCAAAATTATCTTGAGCTACCTTCAGTCCTTTTAATATCCCTTTATCACCCACCTCTCTATCTTACTTAAGACTTCCCGTGACTATCAAGAAAAACCTTTGAAATATGCTCTCAACAGAAAACAATATCCACCAACCCAAAAGTTAAGAAAGGTGTCAGATAGGATCTAAAGCAACACAGATTTCCTCCCCTTTGCTGTCACCTGCTTACCTAATGTCCCTGACAATGTATGTGCATTGGTTTCTGACTTCTGATTTTTATTTGTTCTGTGACTAACAAATTCACTTACAGGCTTATTTTAGAAAGAAAAACTTGATTGAATCCACATTTCAGGCCCATGGTCTCTTATATTTGCTCAAAGTAAACACTTTTTATTCTCTATGAAGCAAGAACTGTGTTTTCGCTGACAACCTCTTGCTGGTGGACTTTGACCCAGGTAACTAGTACAGAGGCTGAAGGCTAAGCATGTCTGATAAGAGTCTGTGGTCATCTGCAGTCATAACTAAAGAACCTTTACACTCTAAAACTGGGGAACAAGATAGACACATGACACCATGGTTTTCTAGCATGAGGTGCCTCATAGTACAGATACAGGACTACTGTCCCCGAGAAGAAGATAACAAAGGAGACAAGATCAACTGCTACCCCAGCTCACTGTTAAAGTAAGTGTCCTTAGTACAACAAAATATAGCTGGGAAGAGCTTAGGCATCCCAGAGAACAGCGAAGACAAGAGCCCACCTCTGCTGTCTGAAGAGGGTGAGAAGTCTGGAGAGGAAGGACTAATACCAAAAGGGAGATTCAAAGGCCTCTTTAGGGCTGCCTTGGATTTGTTTTTTTTTTTCTTGGAGACCTTATTGAGGCAGGGTGTCAAGTAACTCAGGTTATCCTGAAACTCAGTACGTAGAAAAGATTGTCCTTGAACTTATGGCCCTTTCTCTTCACCCCAAGTGCCGTGATTATAGTATGAGACACAACAAAACAAAGAAGAGAACGCAGCATCATTGTGAGTGGGAGACACGGTGGCTTAGACTAGGTTAGTAGTGGTGAGGCAGTGAGCGGTGAGTAAAATCTCAGATGGTAAAATGGACAGATGATGCTTATGCATTAGATTACGGACTAAGAATGCTACCTATGTTCGTACACGGTTCTTTCAGCCACTTCTTGAGGCCAAGACCTATGTGAGAGTTATCACAGAATTTTATACACAACAAAATTTCCAGCTGTCTCGCATATTTGGTTAGACCACGGCCGGTCAGCTCCTCGAGGTTACCATCACTTTACCAGGCTGTTGATTCCTTTCTGCTAAACTGTTCTGTTAGCTTACTTTCTCTCATCACTTCAAGTAAATATCTCATAGAGAGCATCTTTTGGATGAAGGATTTATTTCACTCATGTTTCACGGAGAGGGTGCCTGGCATCCGCGGTGCCATTGGTGGTACTTGGAGCTTGTGCCTTGACATGTACATTTCAGCAGATCAGGAAATTGAGACTCGGAGTGGAAGCAGAGGTGGGCTCCTGTCTAAAAGGTTCACGGCATGGCATCCCAAAACAACATCATCACTGAGTACCACATATGCCCCTGAGGCTATGAACTTTCAAACCAGCTCATAACTTTCACAAACCATTTCTTTCCCCTTTTTGTCTTGTGCCTTCTGGTTTCAAATTTGCCACTGTACTTTCAGGTTTAATGTAAACGAGGACAGCAGAAACAACAAAGGGACAAAGGCATCAAGACAGTTACATGTGGTCCTTTCAACCCAGAACACAAAAAGTTTCCTGGAAGCCACAATCAGTAAAGTCCCCATCACATCACTCTGCCAAACTTAGAAGAAATACAGTAACATGTTTGGTAAGAAAAATTACAGTATTCCAGTAAGAGTGAGGTGGCACACACCTTTAATCCCCAGCACCTGGGAATCAGAGGCAAGTGGATCTCTGTGAGTTCAAGGACAGCCTGGTCTACATAATGAGTTCCAGTCCAGCCAAGGCTACATAGTGAGATTCTGTCTCAAACCAAATAAATAAATAAATAAATAAAATCTTAAAATTACAATATTCCATTGATTTGTACTATGTAATTTCATAGATCCCAATAAAGCAGTCTAACAATCAAAATGGACTCACTCCTAGCAAAATTCCAAAGGAAACTCAGATTTTTTTTTCCTGACCCTCTAAGAAATCAGGAGAGAAAGGCACGAAGGTGTAAATCCTCAAACATGTTAGCTTCCGTTTGCATGGTACTGAAGACCCTCTTCCTTAATCCTCACACAAAAAGGCAACAGATATCACTAACAGTGACACAATCCGTTATATTGCTTGTTTATCTTATAAGAAAAGTAGCTTTGAAATGGCCAACTCTCTTTTTGTTCTGTTTCTGCTTTCTTACACTATAAAAGCAATCTTTTCTACTCGGTCCTTTTTATTTAATAAAATGGATTACTTCTGGATTCTAGAACTGAAAATAAAGCCAGTTAGGACCTATCCACATGTTTTAATATATCAGCCATGTTTTAAGGGAAATAATAGTATTATTCTGAGTCAGTATGAGTGACCATGGCCCAGAAGTTACCATAACGGCCAATGTTCTTTTGTGAAAAAAAAAATTATGTGAATTGTTATAATCACAGAACAAAACAAAGTCATGGATCCATTTATTTATAGAAATATGTCAGAGGAGTCACAGGGAGGATGAGTTACAACTTTGGAGAATCTCTCTTATCAGATTCAGGCATTTATAACATTCTTAGTTTTAGAGCTCCGGGAAGCTCTATGTCTGTCAAGCTTAACTGTACATTTTTTTCCTTTCATTTATTCTGCCCTCATACAATACAACAATACATCACGACCACATCCTCCCCTCCCTCCACTCTTTCCAGTCCCCCACACACACCTTCCCTCTCCCCCAGATCCGCTGCTCCTCCAGAAAAGAGCAGGCCTCCCAAGGATATCAAGCAAACAGGGCATGACATGATACAATAAAACTAGTCACAAACCCTCATATTATGACTGAACAAAGCAACCCAGTAGGAGGAAAAGTGCCCCAAGGACAGGCCAGAGTGTCAGAGATGCCCCCACCTCCCCACTCCCACCATTTGGAATCTCAAAAAATCCTGAAGAAAGGTAACTACAGCCTATTTGCAGAGGACCTAGCACAGATTCCTGCAGGCTCTGTGATTATAGGCCAGATATAGTGATCAATAGTAAATGGTAGTCAGAAGGCTGTGGTTGGTTGGCAAGACTGCAAGAGCCAGAGGCAGTGAAACAACTACAAGGAAGTTGTGTTTTCCAGGTACAACAGGGCAGCTGCGTATACGAGTTCACAGCAATTGAGACAGCATGCACAAGACCAAAAATGCAAGGTCAAGCAGATAGCATCATGGCATGAATAGTAATAAAAATTTCTCTCATTAGTTACCTTTATGTGTCTGTTACAAAGTATCTCTTCCTCTCCGCAGGTTCACAGATTTGTTGATAGGCTGTTGGCATAAAGACATCTTTGTAATTGTACTTATACTTTGAATCAAGCCTGCCCAACTTGCCACCCAAGGGCTGCATACATCCCAGGACAGCTATGAATGTGGCACACCACATTTGTAGATTACAGTATCATGTGGCAGTGTAAAAAAGTTGGACGTCCATGTAAAGACACATGTGTGTCCTTCCCTTTGGAACAGTAGAACCCAAAGAACTGGAATTTCCCCGGAAACTTTTTTTGTTTCAAGAAGGGGAAAACTAAAGCCCTGGTGCCAGCCAGAAAAAGAATGTGTGTTTCAGGAAAATATTTCATGTGGTTCTAAACTTTGCCAGACTACCTCATGAGAGAGATGGGAGCTGAGATACAATGATGGGTTGATGGATGGGTGAGACCAAACTCGGGTCAGGTTTGCTTAAGGATGCTTGCCTCTGTCCTTCTAGTTAAACCTAAGCTTCACGTCAGTACTCTGAAGATGGATGTCCACGGAGACAGTCGCCAGACTTCCTCGATCCTCTTCCAGTGAATAAATGTCCTTTCTTTACTTTCTCTATTGCTTACTGTTCTCTTTGATTGGCCCGTTTAGGAAAGCCAGCTAAAACTAGGCTGTGAGGGCTGCCAGGACCCAGGTCATACTCTAAAGTCTCCAGTAACATTGTAGGTCTGGAAGACTTCATAAACAAGCAGATAGAAGGACTTTGGTGGGGGAGGGGGCATGAAGAGGCTCACCATTTCAAGTTATAAAGCCATGGTCTATGAAAAGAGCAGCCCCCTACCCCTACCCCTCACTGATCTGTGTAGAAGATAATAGGCCAATTTGGTTACCTAGGAAACAAGGGAAGTACAGAGTGAATAGTGTACAAAGAGTAAAATCAGTATGTATTTCAAAGGAAAAGCAAAACCCGTGTGGTTGGTGTGTGTGTGTGTGCGTGCGTGCGTGCATGCACATGCATGTGTTTGGGAAAAAACATATGAATGGTCACTAAAATCTGGAAAAAAAATCATATATCAAGATCTAGTCTTGAGAGAAGAAAAAACAAAAGATAACCAACACAATCAGAATTTTAAGTTTCGCTTTGAAACAGCAATGCAGGAGGAAGGAGAAAGGGATCTGGGAATTAGTGGAATGATGGAAATTAAAGTGAGAATATTATGTCACCCTCACAGTCAACGGGAGTTACATTCTTCCCATTTCACAGGGAAGTAGTTTCCTGAGAAGCTCTCAAAGGGCAGACCGGGATTGAGAATCAAGAATTCTTGACATAGTGCTTAATGTTCTTTCTTACTTCCACCACAACTTGCCCTCCCCTGCACCCCTAGTCAGCACACAGCTTGACACAATAAGGGAGGCGGTTGCTTGTTTATTCATGTCCTCCCCCTTCTCCCCATCTCTGTCTTCAGAAAGACTCAAGAGAGGACTCTCTCACAAACTGTTCCATCAGATACAAAGACAGGAAGTCTCACAAAGACCCTGAGGAGCAGACAGCTTCCTCTGGTTAATGCTGTGGTGAACATTCCACCTCTAAAGCAAGCTGCTAAACAATCTTGGCCTCACTTAGTGCCCTGCCTCCTGCAACAAGTCTCTAGCTTCTTGATAGAAAGGAAACTGGTAACTAGGAGCCATAGAACAGCAGTAATTTGCATTTGGTTTCCTTTGAGCACAAACCAACACCACACACCCACTCCCCGTGCCTTTTTGTAATAAAAGCACGTTTACATTCACCCTGGGAACTTGGTGTTCACATTTTCTCATATTGTCTGCGAACTGATCGCTCCTCGGACCGCACATGTCTCGTGTGGCCCATCAGCTGCTGACTACGACTGTATTCTTCTTCCTCCCCTGTCTAAGGACACTTGAGTATTTGGAGTATTCGGCAATAATATGAGCTCCAATACTCTTATTTGAGCCACATTCTTATCGAAAATTTCCCTTTGTGTCAGCAATTTCTGGGAGAGTCATGTTGAATATGGAAACTTTTGGGGGAACTGAGATCAGGTTCATGTGGTTCAGTCCCCAGCATCCAAAAGCACAACACACAGGAAATAACAGTGGCAGGCAGTTGGGGTGAAGGTGTAGGGCAGAACTGGATGACAGCTACATCACCCAATTGGACCTCAGAAACTGTTCTCTCTTCATTCCCTTTTGCCTGCTGCTTAGAGGATTGTTTAATTATAAGTCCTGTAATTTAAAAAGAAGGGCGTGAGCATGCCCTGTGTGTGTGTGTGTGTGTGTGTGTGTGTGTGTGTGTGTGTGTGTGTGTGTGTTCAACTTAACTATGTGTGCTAAGTGACTAATACATTGGGCTCAATAGGAATATGAAAAAAAAAGAGGCAAACTACATGTTGGCTGGAGTCTGGTGTAATGACAGAGCTGTGTTTTAGTTGGTCATAATGAAACCTCTATAACAGTAAACATACAAAACAGTTGTCTGGGGCCAACATAGCTAACCAAGAAGATCATTAATTATCCCATGATTAAAGAACAGAGAAGATAAGGAAGGTTATACTTAGAAAAGTCTGGTACTGGGGAGATGGCCCAATAGGTAAAGGTACTTTTTTCCAAACTTGACAATATGAGTTCAATCCCCAAGACCTGCTTGGTGGGAGGAAGCAAATGACTCCTGCAAATTGTCCTCTGACCTCCACACATGCACCTGGTGTAATCCATCCATACCCACACACGAAAAATAAAGGTATTTTTTTTAAAAACTGTTTAAAAGTTTGTGAGTAAGGGCTATAAAAGGAGATTAGGAGTAGCAAAGGGTGGAGCAGATAAGGCGAAAGAATCTACTAAAATACATTTTGTCTGAGAATACTCAAGTGTCATATAATACCTTGTTTGCTAATATAACATACAAAAATAAATTTTAAAAACCAAAAATGCTTGCTTTTTTAAGTCCGAAAAGAACATCCTTTAAGGCTGAGATTGTCCTTCATACCCTTGTCAGTGTGTGTAATTCCAAGAGTGCAGGCACCTTGAGGGCATTCAGAGTGGCCCTAGTTTTTTGATTTTGTGTTGCATTTGTATTTTGTGTGAGTTCACACGTGTGCTTGTATGCTCTCATGGAGTGAGTGTGTGTGTGCGTGCGTGCCTCTGTGTGTGTGTGTGTGTGTGTGTGTGTGTGTGTGTGTGTGTAGGACAGAGGGCATCTTTTGGGGGTCGTACTTCCTTCCTTCTTGTTGTGGGCCTTCAGGCTGCACTCTAGGCTCCAGGCTAGCTGGCCCTTGTCTCTGCCTCTCATCTTGCCGTACAAGCTCTGCACCTAACATTTTTTTTGTTGCATCAGTTCTAGGGATCAAATTCAGGTTGTCATGTTTGTGCAGCTAGGTCTTTTTAGCTATTAAACCAGGTTTCTGGCCTGGGAATTCAATTTGGGGAGAGGTATTGGTGTTTCTGCAAGTGGGCAAAGCAACTCCACATTGCTAGCTTTGCATCCTGAGGAGAGCTCAGGCTGATCTCAAACTTACTGTGTAGAGGAGAGTGCCATTTGAACTCCTCTCTCCACCTTCCAAGTGCTGCATGTGCCACCATACCCAGCTATTTCTTGTTTGTTTTTTAATGTTATGTGTTTAGGTGTGTCTGTGTTGAGGTATATACATGTGAAGGCATTACAACAAGTGGTTGAAAGGTGCCCAATGTGGGTGCTTGAAACTGAACTTCAAGAGGGCCTTCTTAACAACTGAGCAATCTTTCCAACTCCTATTTCTTGTTTTTCAAGAAAAGGGTCTCCCTTCATAAACCAGGCTTCCCTGGAACGCACTATTAATACCATGCTAAGTCAGGCAGTGGTGGCACACACCTTTCATCCCAGTAATCAGAAGGCAGAGGCAGAAAGATCTCTGTCTAGTCTACAGAGAACGTTCTAGGACAGGACAGCCAGGCTACATAGAAAGATCATCTCTTAGGGGGAAAAAGGCAAACAAAAAAGACCAGGCTAACCTTGAACTCATAGAAATCTGCTGTGGGACAATGGTTTTACCCTGTAAAGATTTGTTTCTTTTACTTTCTTAATAAAATGCTGATTGCCCAGTAGCCAGGCAGGAAGTATAGGGGGTACTACCAGTTAGGAAGCAGAGGTGGGGCAATGAGAACAGGAAAACTCTGGAAAGAGGAGAGATTCAGTCTACAGTCATCATCTAGACACAGAGGAAGCAAGATGTAACTGCTTTGCAGAAAAAGGTACCAAACCACGTGGCTAACACAGACAAGAATTATGGGATAATATAAGTTGTAAGACTTAATAAGAAGCCTGAGCTAATAGGCCAATCAGTTTATAACTAATGTAGGTCTCTGTGTGTTTCTTTGGACTGAACCACTGCAGAACTGAGCGGGACAGAAACCTCTGTCAACAGAAACATTTGTCAACAGAAATCCTTCTGTCTCAGCCCCAAACTGCTGGGATTAAAAGTGTGAGCCACCACACCCACTGCAGCCAGCTGACTTGACTTACGTGCAGAAAAGAATTCAGGACAAATCAGTATGAAACAAAGTTGTAGTTTATTATGCAAAAAAAAGTGCACACTCCATGAAATAGAACTAAGTGCAGCTGTTAAGAGAGACATGTGTGGCTAGTATTTGCATGGTTTGTTTTATTAACCAGTTTTAGTATAGGGGGGGATTATTCATGAGTTTTGAGAGGGCAAAGCATAAAATTCCAGACATGGGTTGAGATTTTCTCAGAATAGGGTTTTCTCTCCTTTTCTGCCCTTTCTTAGTGTTTTCCAGACATATCAGTGTCAGATGCATAATTACTGATGATTTTGCAGTGTTGATGTTATGAAGATACCATTATAATTAATCAGGAGATAATTAACAATATTCTTGGTTAGCTATGTGGGCCCAGACAACTGTTTTGTATGTTTACTGTTATAGTGGTTTCATTATGACCAGCTAAAACACAGCTCTGCCATTGCACCAGACTCCAGCCAACTGCAACTCATCTCTTGTTTGTCATGACTATTGAGTCCAGTGTATTAGTTACTTAGCACACATAGTTAAATCAAACACACACACACACACACACACACACACACACACACACACACACACATACACACTGTGTATGATCATGTTTATCTTTTTGAATTATAGGGCTTAAAATTAAATAATCCTGTATGCAGCAGTCAAAGGGGAAGGAAGAGAGAACGGTTTCTGAGGCCCGAATGGATGACATAGCTGTAATCCAGTCCTGCCCTAGTCCTTTACCCCAGCTACCTGCCCTCAATGACCTTCCCTCCTTCCTGTGGTTACTTTTCAGGGTCTTTCATCATTTCCTTGGCTTCCTCTGCATGCTGTGCTCACTTAGCTTTTATGTATGATGCAGATGTTTGGCCAGATACTACTAGGGCTGGGCAGGGGCAAGAAGGTAAGAAAAAGAAAGTCACAGGGACATAGGTTTAATCCCTTCTTGAGTTTTGCCTTAAGAATGAACCCAGAGATGCTGGGGTTAAGTGTGAGTCAAATAACACCAGCATGCTAATTTCTGTGTTCTCAAGCTGCCTTGAGGCTTCACTATTCAACGTTGTCTAATTTTTCAATATGAAAGGGG